AGACGGGCACTGGACAACTCTGTGCCTCACTGAGGAAAATAGTGAAACGTGGGCAAAGGCGATCCTAAGAAGCCGAGAGGCAAAATGTCATCATACGCATTCTTTGCACAAACTTGCCGACAGAAGCTCAAGAAGAAGCACCCAGATGCTTCAGTCAACTTCTCAAAGTTTTCTAAGAGACACTCAGAGGGGTGGAAGAGAAAGGAAAATTCGAAGATGTGGCAAAGGCGGACAAGGCCGGTTGTGAAAGAGAAATGTAAACTTATGCCCCCCCAAAGGAGAAACAAAAAAGAAGTTCAAGGATCCCAATGCACCCAAGAGGACTTCTGTGGCCTTTTTCTCATTTTGTTCTGAGTATTACCCTAAAATCAAAGGAGAACATCCTGGTCTATCCGCTGGTGACGTTGCAAAGAAACTGGAAGGGATGTGGAGTAACGCTGCTGCGGATGACGAGCAGCCTCGTGAAAAGGTTGCCAGGCTGCAGGGAAAATGTGAAAAGGACATCACTGCACACTGAGCCAAAGGGACGCCTGAGGCGGCAAAAAAGGGAGTCAGCAAGGCCGAAAAAAGCAAGAAAAAGGAGGAAGAGGAGCAAGACGAGGAGGATGAAGAGGATGATGAGTAAGTTGGTGCTAGCATAGTTTTTTTTTCTTGTCTATAAAGCATTTAATCCCCCTGTACACAACTCGCTCCTTTTAAAGAAAAAAACTGAAATATAAAAAGAAAAGAGGAAAAAAAAAAAGAAAAAGAAAAACTGAATAATCAGTGGGCCTCAAATCTGCTAATGCGCCAAGAACAACTGCTGTATAAAATATTAAATATAGTATTTACATGACTGGTAAATAATTGGCAATGAAGAGATAAGTGAGGATTATAACTATTATGGATAATTTTAGGCTGCCATGATTCAGGTTCTAAAGTCTTTTCTAGTTTAAAAATGCCTGGCACCATTTCTCTAGCAATTTTTTACTGCAGGGTTTCTTTGCTTTATGAAGCCAAGAAATGACACTTGAGACAGAAAACAAAACAGATTTAAATCTTGTCATTTTGGTCTGCTTTCCTGCAGCCCTGACCAGTTGCTCCTTGGAAGACGCTTGTTCTTATGTTGTTCCTTGTGATGTCCTCCTGCTAGAAGAGGCCCAGTGAAATGAATGTAGCTCCTTGTAGCACTGTCTTCCCAGCTTGGCAGCAATCGCCTTGCCTCTTTCATGGAAGGCAGTCTAGCCCTAATTATCACCAAGAACTATAGTTGGTCTGGATATTGAAGTGACCTAGCCCCCTGGGGAGCTTTCAGTCAAGATCTTGAAAGGCAAGAAAAAGGTTGGTAGAGGGAGCAAGTTGAAAGGCAGAACTAGTAAAAGTTCAAGCCATTTGCTAGAAAAGGAAGGGCTGCAATACAGTTGCTTCTGTTTTTTGGGGTTTTTTTTAAGATTTTTTTTATTTATTTATTTACTTATTTATTTACTTGATAGAGCGTGAGAGCACAAGCAGGGGGGAGGGGCAGAGGGAGAAGCAGGACTAGATCCCAGGACCCTGGGATCATGACCTAAGCCGAAGGCAGATGCTTAACTAACTGATTGAGCCACCCAGGCCTGGCCCCTGTTTTGGTTTTTTTGTTTGTTGTTTTTACTGTTCTTTCGATTCAAGTTTGCTCATCAAGTGTATTTTATGGCCTATTATTTAATAGTTCTGAGAAATGGCTCTCACCAAGAAGATGGCAATATGAAATATTATTCGTGGTTAAGTGTCCTATGTCCAAACATGTTTTGTTTCATGGTTAATATGATCAGACTTTTGTTTTTATTTTTTTAAAAGATTTTATTTATTTATTTGACAGAGACACAGTGGAAGAGGGAACACAAGCAGGG